CCCCCCCCCCCCCCTTTTGGACTGTTGATTGACGCCATCAGGACGCGAATCAATCTGTACCTGAGGCGTTGACGAAGTTCGGGACGCACGTGAAGAAGAAGGAGCACAAGCTTTACGGGGCTTTCGCCAAGGATGTGGACATGGACCGCAAGGCCACAAAAACCACCTTCGATGATTCCGACGACGAATGAGCAAAACAGAGATGATAGAGGGCGCAGTTGGCTGCCGTTTTTGCGTGTTTCTTTCACGCGCCAACGTCTACCTCTTCCTCTTTCTCTCTGCCTCGCACAGCAGAAAAGGCTGCCAGTGAGTAGCTCTTGATCTCTGGACTGATGAGATAATACTCCCCAGTACGGATTGTTTCGCCACCTGTGATATGATATGGATGCCTCGAATAATGTTCTTGTTTTGCACGTGGGTGCCAAATGTTCCGGATCCTTTTGAAGCAGCCTTGAAGTAGACAGGTACGGCGCGAATGGAAGACGATGGCTGCTCGGCCGTGGTGTAGGATGGAATCTACGGTGTGTGTCGTGAATTGACCTTTGGTAGTCGTGTGCCGTTGGGGTCCTCTGGGCTTTATTCGAACGAGACAGCCCGCAGAGATTTCGTGTTGTTTCTCGGTAGTTGTTGGCTTGCGTACAGCCAACCGATGTCGAAATTGCGAGATAAGTTACGTGAGAGGTAGAATGGTGTGGTCGCTAGCAGGGAGGGGGCGTACTCTTATGTTTTGCATGCCTTAGCGGTTAGACCATGGACCACGCGTCCTCGAGAGGACGGAGCATTGTTCCCACAGGTCCGATCAACGATGGCCAATCGTCCCTTTCTACTTTGCCAAAGGTGGCTCAAAAATATCTTCCCCAGTCTGTTTATCCTAACCATATCCCTTCCCGCCTTTTCAACCCACCTCCTATGCCCCAGTACAGCTACCGTCCTTTCCTCTCTATTCCATCCCTCAAACATCTCCCTGTACGTTCCATCTATTTTTCTCAGCTAAGTCATGTACACTTCCCTCTCCTTGTACCACGGACATTCCGCGACTACATGAACACGGTCTTCGCATTCGAAGCCGCAATCACATTTGAACTCGTCGTCTTCCTCGTCTACCGTCCTATGTCTTCGTCG